CAAACACGTGCTGCATTGCCCACAGGAGAGCCACAGCACACAGGCACCAGAGGAAGCCAGCAGGGCGACTGCAGCATCCTGCTCCTTACTGTTTACCTGCACTGGAGCTGAGGAAACTCCTTCCAGCTCAGACAGTGTTTCCTAGTTCCTTTACTGCTCTTGATTTTTTTTTTTTTTCTGTATCAAAAACAAAAACCTACTCAATTTCTGCACTGACCCTTATTCTCTTGTTTTCCTTTTCAGTGTGACAGCGACAGTGACCAGGAAGAGAAGGTAAGACAGCCCCCTGCACACACATTGTGGGTCCAGTGCATAGGACCCTGTGAGCACACACAGCTGCAGGGGTGGGTACCAGCTTCATGGTGACCACCTTTCTCTACTGTAAAAACAGATTTTATTCACACAGTGACATTTTCTATGATAAGAAGTAACATTTAATTTGTGAGGTCCACTTTTTTGAAACAAGCTCCTTAATATTACACATATGTGACCCTAAGTTTTCACGTTATAGAAGATGTTAAAAGAGGAAATTATTTATTTTAATAGCCATCTGATCTTTTTTCTTAGTTCTTGATTAGAACATTAAACGTGCTAGTATGTATTTATAATGTCATGTTTTCACTTCTTTTACTGGCCCATATGCTTCTTCCTGCTTTTCTGTACATATTGGCCTTCTCGATGGAAATGTTCATGGTAATGTTTCTGGAATGTCATCCTGGGGTGAGGGGTGGGCAGGGGAGGTCAGATGGGAACAGCTCTCTCTCATCCAGGTGGATGGCCAGGTGGGAGGGCAGTTCTTCCAGCAGGTACATACTCTGTTTGGAGGCTGATGGCCACCAGCCTCTGTGTATCCTGTTCAACATGGATCAAGAAGAGGAGCTCTGTGTTTGAGCTTTCAGAAGATCGGATCACTGCCTGGTAATGTGAACTTCCTGCGGTCTGAAGCAAAGGGATTGGTTGTCTGTTTGGCCTTTCTTTCTAGGTGTCTAAATCCCCAAACCAGATTTCTTTTCAATTTTATTCCTACTTTATGTATTTCTAAAAGAGTTACCTGAATACTGTATTATGATTTCTATGTTACTTGGCACCAAAAGGAAGGGGCCAAGTCCCCCCTTCCCCAATTTCCGGATCTGTCCTGCAGAGCTGGCGTTCCTGAGCCCCATTTTCTGACTGTCACCTACATGCTTGTTGATTTCACTCAGAATGGGCAGTTAGCATTTAGTGGGATCTTTCCATCAGCCCAGATTTCTCCCTCCTTCTCTGCTGCCAGCCTCCAGGAGAGATGTAAAGGCTCTTGTTCTGTGCTGTTGTTAATTTGAATTCAGCATATGTAGCCTGTTATAAAATGCGAGACATCATCATTTGAGCAGGTCAAGCATATTCAGATGAAGACAAATGGTGCTTATTTGATTTCCTTAAAATCAGGAAATGAAAAAAGTGCTCTCTGGAGAAATCATGTTCTGCCTGGCTTGGATGATAGACCAGTGCGTGTCCCCTAGATAAGAGCAGGCTCTCGCCCTGAGGTTTTTATCTCTGAAGGACGGCCAGGACTGTCAGCTTGCTGACATGTGCATTATCCATGTCATTTTAAACAAAGTGACCTACGGAAGGGTGCGCTGTGCTGTGACACGGTAATGGGCTGTTGGATGACAGGGAAAGTACACACTGCGAAGGGGGCTGTGGACTATTCCTTTGTTTAACTGACAAGTAGGCACCTCCTTACTCCAGCCCCCGGAGTCTTCACTCCTTAGAGGCAGGTCTTCTGGTGTGTCGGGTGCCTGTGTGTAGTGGGTGCCAGAGGCACATGGACAGCATAGAGGGTCAGTGTTCAAGGCGTGCCCGCCGGCCCCTTGGAGCTGTCAGGCCACATCCCCACATGGCAGTCATCACCACAGACACCAGGCAGGGACTGGCACTTTCTGCGATCCCAGCAGCTCTGCCACAGTGATGGTTGATCTCACTGTCCAAGTTGGTGGCACTTCTCCAAGGGGGTGAGCCTTCTCTGGGCTCTCACAGCTGAGCAGACATTCTGCCTTTGGAAGGCACTGTGAGTTCCAGAAGCGTCACCGGTCTCCAGCAGTGGTAGGCAGTGCTAAGGATGTCCAGCTTGCATTCCGTGTGGATGTCCTGACCAGGAATCTCCACCTGGACCTCACACCCGCATCACCAGGGAAGCTGTAAAATCCCAACCCTGGGCTCCATCCCAGGCCCACTGCCTCAGAATCTTCCCAGGCTTCTAGCATCATTCGTCTAGATGATCAGCTGACTGGTCATTTGGGGAATGACCGAAGCTGCCCATGGCTTTCAGAGGAATCTGGGTGTTTCCACCTATGGAGAACACTTGAGCTAATCCTTTCCGGGGATCTGAATTCCCAAGTCATTGCTGTTCAGGTTTCAGTCTGAGAGCAGGAAGCAGCAGATTGTCAGACCAGGCAGTGGGAGAGCAGCCAGAGCCCACCATTCAGTTTAGGATGATTTCAGGGCAATAAAGGAGAGTATGGAGATGTTTATAGTCAAGTCCGTGAGTGGGGAGAGGGGAGGGAAGGGGCGGGGAGGGGAGGGGCCTCAAGTGTTCCCCCCTCCTGTGCACACTTCCCGCCTCTGCTGCCCCATCATCTTTCCTGGGGACTTCGGTGGCCCTGCAGATCCTCTTATTCTTACCTGAGAGATGCTCCACGACCACACCCACATCACCTGTCCCTGCTCCCCCTGCCCCCCCCAGGAGCAATCAGGACTCTAATTGCAGTGGTGCCTGCTTGGCCCTGTTACAGTTAAGACTGTCAGCTTCCCCTTTTGAACTGAGATTGCCTGGTGTTTATCACTGGCTTTAATACCATCCTCCCAGACATGCTCTGGGCCTGAGCCCGGGCCCCTATCAGCCTCCTCTGTGCCAGAGCCTCTTGCCTGGGCCGCTCTCAGAGCCCCACAGCTAACTGGTGCTGCTTTCATGTGCCGCTTGGAGGATTCGCATTCAAATCTGAATTGCTAATGGTGGAAAAGATGCCACTCAGTGTCCTGGGATCCCGTCAGCAACCCCACCAGGGATGCTGTTGGAGGCAGAAGTGAGACTTGTAGGGCACCCACTGGGATTTCTCTCTGGAAGACCTGTCATTCTCTTACTCCGCCGGGATCTGCAGAACTGGCGGTCTAAAATTAGGGTACTGTATTTCACACAGCTGACTGAATTAAGATAAACTCTGCTTTCCTCTGATGCGAAGCTGTAATTTATAAAATGATACCCTTACTAATTAATGTGGAAGTGACTGGGAAAGGGGCTGAAAAGCAGAGCTTTCCATAAATGCAGAAGATGTACTTGTGCATGGAAAGGCTTTGATGAGCCGCAAGCCAAGCGTCTCTCCCAGCCTCCTCGCCCAGCACCGAGAATACATTTCACATAGTATCAGAGAACCCGGAGACTCTGGTGAGGTGGGAACTGGGTGGGGGTTAGAAAAGCCTGGGACACTGCATCTCAGATGTGGGATTGTCTTCATTGTGGTTAGTGCAAAGAAAAGAGGCAGCACTTGGCACCCTAATCGCCCACATTTAGCAATTATTCCAATCCCCCACTTGAAATGAATTGGTATCATGAGAACAAAGAGGCAACACACGCGTTTCCACATATTTGGCCTGTATTTCCTCTTGCTTCCTCTCTTTCTCTACCACTGGCAGCAGCCCATTATACCAAGAAACACCCTCGTATTTGGTTATGAAATTAATGTGAAGATTAAAAGTAATTCTCTCTTTGTCTGCTCATGTGTGGACCACGTGACAGAGCTGGTTTTATTGGTTGGGCCATGTAGTGCTCAGTGGTCCAACACTTGGGTCTCAGAGTCTGGTGGCCTAGGCTTCTTTCTGACCGTCCCTGACCACTGCAGATATGGACAAGCCTCAGTGCTCTCATCTACCAAATGGGGATAACAGCAGCTCCACCCGTAGTGCTGTGACAGTTCAGTGAAGGCACTTGGTGCAAGGCCTGGTCCATAGCATGTGCTCCATAATTGTTAGTTTTCATTAGTTCTACTTAGGGCGAAAAGAGAGAACCACTCGGAGCAGGAAGCAGCCTATCCTCCTATTCACAGAGCTCAGGCTCTGCCAGGAATCTGCCAGAGGACCTCAGGGAGGACTTGTTTCCACTGGAACCTGACGCTCAGCCTTCATGCCCAAGGGCGCTTCTTTCTGCTACAAGCTGAAATTCAAAGGCCCCCAAACAGGGTATTTTGAACCCCTTGTCTTAAACATCAGGCTTTCTTTTGGGCACAGCCTTGGAGCCAAGAACAAGCCTGCTGTCCTGGAAGCATCAAATGACAACTAACTGGATTGTACAGCCCTGGTCCCACGTGCCAGACACTGTCGGTTCCCACATGCCCCCACAGGGGAGACGTTCTGATTCCATACATCCGGGGTGGAGCCACAGCATCTGTATTTTTGTAAAAGCTTCCTAGGTAATTTTGATACACAATTGGTTTTGAGAACCACTACCTTATAGGAAATGTCAAAGAGAAATTTATACTTTTCCATTGTTTATGCTCTTAAAAATTTGAGAGCTCCAAGGAAAGACTTGAAAACTATAGAGTTACCTGTGTACATGCTCCCATGTGCTTATGTTCATAGATGCATGGCATATACACACATGCAGTGCACACGTACACAGTCTCTTCATAGGTAGGAGGAACTCTTCTCGTTTTCCGAATGAAGCTTTTCGCATGAGTCCCGATTGCAGTTTCTCTGTCTGGGCTTTTAACCATTCAAGTGGCCCCCTGGAGAAGGTCGCCTGGCTCCTGTGATTTGCTCACCGGGACCTGGAACGGCCTCCTGGGACACTGGCTAATTGCAGATGCAGTGCCACTTATTTTCCACATCAGCTCCTCCTCCCCTAACACTTTTTGGTTGTTTTAATTTTTTAATTCATGCTAAATTTGTTGGTTTGATCATTTTGTTTTCACTTGTGTGGGAAGGGTGCAGTTTCTAAGAAAAGCAGCAAGGAGACCAGCGGAGGCTTATGTTCCTAACTCAACACAAACCACATGCCTCACTTGGCTCCTGAAAGACTCAGAAACTGCTGAGATGTCAAACTGAAGCCTGGGCATGTGGCTTATGCTTACAGTAGAGGAGTCCCACCCCTCGATTGGCCACGTTTCACAATTGGTAAAGATTGTGCGCCCTCAGCAACATTCCAGGAGCTCAGAAGGCCCTCACTGTTGCTTATAGAACCCCCATCCCTGGTTTGAAATATGACTTGTTCTGATCAGGAGACAACTTAGAGATGCTGCCCT